ACTGTTAGCCCTAGTGCATCACTATGGTGCAGTTAAGGACAAAGCACAGAATTAGCAAAGTGCTGTGCAAAATCATCTTGTTGCTAATAAAAAAGGGTAGTTTATTAGTTTCATCATCTCATATCTTTGGAGAATAAGCACCAGGTGTTTTGTAAGGCTTTTTGAGTATCTGGACACTGCTCTTGAGCCACGTAGATCCAGCAGTGAAAATGAATATGCAGTCAGTAATGTGCGTGATATAGATAAGAACTTTTCCTTTATTTTCTCAAGTGGAGAAACTTTCAAAACTCTCTCTGAAACGTTGATAAGTGGGTAGTTAACAGCTCCAGCTGTATATTTTAGGGGATTTTTGATGTGGAAGTCCCCTTGAGAACTTTTCTTGACTTGCCTTAGTTACTTCCCTCATGCCTTCATACTGAGGGTCTCAGATCTAGCTCAGAACCTTATTAGTTAACACAATGGACTTAAAGTGAGCTGTGGCTAGAGAACCAGGGGTAGCTTCTTGCTGCAAGGCAGGGTGAGAAGGACTGCAGTTTGGGTGGGTTGGGGCATCTTCCCTGTCACACCGGCTGTGCAGTAGAGCATTTGCATTGCCCTCTGGTGGCAAGTGTCCCAGCGCCACTGGGGGCAGAGGCTCTGCTTGTCCAGTGCATTCACTGGGGAGATCCATCCTCCTGGCAGCAAAACGGTGCTTAAACAATTCTGCAGTGCTCAGTCAGGTTTTTAATTCAGCAGTGTTTCCAGTGAGACCATGTTTCTCTTAATCTAGAAGTACGAGTTAGCATGAAAACCTGAAAGTGAAGCTGATGGGATATAGGAAGCGAAACCAATAGTTGAATGCGCATTATTGAAATGATGTTCTGAAATATATGATCTAAGATCTAATTGTAGCTGTCTAATTATTTTTAGTTAAACTTGCCTGACGGTTGTTGTAATGCCTCGGTGATATTAATAGTTCCAGAAACTTGATGGAGGGAACAAAACAGTGAACAAAGGCACTGAAAATTAGATAATCTGTTCTTTCAGTTTTGCATGCAATTCTCTTCCTTGCACCAAACAGCATTTTCTTTGTGTCAGGAAATCAGTGTTGGGGGTAGCATTCTGCAGTTGCTTAAGATGACCCCACAGCAAAACATGAGCCCATGTTAAATTCGGGGCTACCAACCTACCAAGAATTAATTTCTGAATTAAATGCTGTTGTGTTTTTGTCTGTAAGTGGCGAAAGGAAGCTGTGGCTCTGCAGACCCCTCCTGGGGGGGCAGTGCCTTGCAGACGAGCCTGCAGCCTCTTGCTCTCTTTGTTCCCGGCTTCCCCAGTGTTGCTGGGGCCAGTGGGGTGGTGGTGAATTCCTGCGTGTGCCTTCCCCGGGCCTGCTGCCCCTCTAATTGTCCTGTTGTCAGAAGGCGTGTGCCTCCCAAAGCCTTATCTGATTCCTCCAAAAGCCTTGCAAGCAGTTCAGATGTTGACCCCTTGAGCGCAAACAACACTCTGCCTGCCTTGGGGCATAGCTTGGAGACAGGGTTTAGTGCTGGTGTGTGTGCAAACCCAACTGTCTTTGTCCCGGGCTGGAGCACCTGCCTGGGGAGGGGAGCGAGGGGCCAGGGAAGGTGAAAGGCTGGTGGGACTCGAAGAAGGAGAGTCCAACAGCTGCTTGTGTCAGAGTGAGGATAAGTGCAAGGAGATTAATAGTTATTTAAAGAGCAAATGGGGACACAGCATTCGACTATGGCATGCGAGTGATAAATGCAATGGAATGGCTGCTCTGCTGGTAACATTTAGACAGATGGTCCCTGGACTGAAAGGAATGAAAAGGATCTTTGATTCTCTTAGGGATATCTTACATTTTAATGGGGCACTTATTTTATTATTTTTCCCTAATTGACTTCCAGGCAGCACCTTCACTGTTTCCAGACTCTGCTGCCCTGTTAATGCTGACTGCCCATTTGACCATCTTTCTCCATCAATTTAAGTAGTTTGGGATTAGAGGGAATAATTTTTAAGTGAAAGCTGAAACACTATTGTTTTGCTGTCTGTATGTCTGAGCTGGTTCAGGAGACTGTTTTCATCACAGTTGTCTTTTCATCATTTACTGGTTAGGGAGTGTGTCTGATGCTAATCTGCATGAGAAATGAAAGAACTGAGTGATACTTTTATGTTTTTGAGAAGTCTTTGGGTCTTATTAGGGTATTCTGGGGCAGGAGGGCAAGGGGGGTTGTTTTTTGATTAAATATCAAATTGAGCAGGTAAAAGAATGTTCCTGGTGCAATATATCAGCCTTCTGGCTCTTTCCGTACAGAATTGGCCTCAAGGGAAAATATGTACCAGAAGTCCGTTAAATAGATCGTGGTTGACTGAGTAGCCTGCAGGAGATGAGACATAATTGTCATCTGCATTGCCAAAGCTGCAATCTCCTTTGGGAGAAGAACAACCAGTCTGTATTGCTCTCTCCCACATCAACTATTCAGTGTGCTTGTAGTCCAAATGCAGATACTAGACTTCCCATCTAACAGAGGTGCTGGGCATCTGTAACATCTATGCTGCTGCAGAAGGGGAGACTGAGGCAGGGAGGACAAATGACTAACCTGCGGCAACATGAAGAGTCACTGGTTCACCCAGGATTAGGACTCAATATGTAATTGCTTTTATTACTCTGCTGCCTGCAGGCTTCAGACAAAGCAGAGGCCCATTAAGTGCAGTGCTTTTTACATGGTGAAGAGCAATCCCTGCCCTGCAGACTTTGCTGCCTGCAGTTGGCTGAGGGTGGAGGGGGAGGCAAGGTGCCTTGCCTAAGGACACAGCGTGTCGCTGACAGAGCAAGGGAGGAAACCAACTCTCCCTTCTCTCTGCAGTCCATCCCAGCTTCCAAAATTATGTCCTCTGTGCTGTTCCCCACCAGACCTTCTCCTTCACAGCACAGCTTCTAGTAGCAAGCTGATCCATCTCTAGACAGTCCCATGTGCCTCACTGAAGGTTCCAGAGCACCAGCCTCACCCTGAGTGTTTAATGAAAACACCAGACAATATCAGCTTCTTCCAGTGAAACAGAAACCTAAGAAAAAGATGTAATGAATGGTATAGATTTCTGTACTTCCTCCCTTTCTGGTAGGACATCTGAGAGGGTAAAGTCTTTGGGTATAGGGAGGATGCTTCGTCCTTGCAAAGGGACCGTCCTATTTTCCACCATGGCTAAAATGACTGGTCAAGCTGAGTGTTAAATGGCTTGTCCAGAGTCCCAGGAGAGCTCAGCAGATAGCTTGTGCCTTTCCATTCGAGGTCCTTGGAGAAGTGATAATGTGCTGCTTGAAGCTTCAGTAGAGCTCATGGGATTCCCAGTATTGGGAAAGCTTTTTGTTATGAGTCTTGTGGTTGGTGCTCTGACTCATGGAACTTTTGCTTCTTGGCTGATAAGAAGTTGTCTGGAAAAGGAGCAGCTGTTGGAAAGAAGAGGCAAGTTGCAAGCAGTCTGATTGAAATACTGAGAGATAGGTGGTGAGCTTGATGGCTCTGGATAGGATTGAAGCTATGGTATGTAGAGGGACGTGAGCTGCTTGGACACAAGAAGAACGTGAGTCCCTTCTGCTGTGTCAGCAGCTAATAGCAGAACCTGACTGAACCCCATGTACCACCTTGCCTGCTGCCCTGTCTCAGTGACCAATGCCACATCCTTTGGAGAATTAAAAATGTGTGGTAGTTGTGTCTTTCTCCAGAATACTTTCTCAGCTTCCAATTGTTTGTAGTGCAGAATTTTAAAATTAGGTATACTTGTCCTCTGCTTTTTTGAACATATATAGGCTTTTAGTATAGCTACATTTTGTGGAAAAAAAGAACCCATGTTTATTTGTGGTCTTTGTGAAGAATCATTCTGCATGCTTAAAAAATGTTTGCTTGTTCCCCAGCTCCTCCATGAAGACATCATGAGATTTAATTTTTTATTTGCTTTTTTATGTGTCGTCTAGGAATTTATCCTTTTCAGTCATACTGAGTTCCACCTCTCTCCTCGTTGTCGTTTTTCCAGCCTGAAAAGTTCATCATCTACTACTGTATTACAGGAAGGCATTGAAAGGGTTTGCTTGTTCTGGTCACTTTCCTCTCAGCTGTGCTCCCCTGACTTTCTCCACGGTGGGGGACATTGCTGCACATTGAATTTAGGGCATTAGGCATGTGGTTTTTCTGTTAACCTCTCCTTAATCTAACCTTTGCCTTTTCTGTACTCCATTCTTGGCAATGTTTGGTTTTAATGTCTTGAATTGTTCCATATGTTGCTTATAATTGAGGCTGCTTTTGGGATACAGCCGTGTTTGCTCATTTAAGTGCTACATGCTGTACAACTGTTACCTCTTAAGCATGAGGGGAAGCCTTCCACGCTGTCAGCTTCCATGCTACTTGATGAGAACTTTAATTCTTCTCTACCACTGACTGCCCACTGGGAATTGAATGTGTGGGGCCCACTGATTCAATGCCATGAGCCTTTTTTCCAGTGAGTCGCTCTTCATCACAGCTACTGAGTTAGAGCTCCTAAATGTCACCGTGTGTAGCAGGTTGGGATCCACAAGAAGAGAAACAGCCTTTATGTAGAGCTGGAGACTGTTGGAGACAATGTAGTGTTACACAAGTTAGAGCCAGTTGCACTGTAATGAACCTGCTGATTTTTATCTGGTTGTAGCAGTACCTCCAAGAAGGTCTGTCTGGGTGTTGCTAGACACAGGGAGCCTGTCTCCTTGTGATGGCTTGCTGCCCTACAAATCACCTCATGGTTATGTGCAGGCTCTTTTCCCAGCTCTGCTGCTCATTCCCTGCGTGACTGTGAGAAGCTTTACTTCCTTGTCCCAGTCACCAGTGTAAAGAAGGGTATATCCTTTGCAAATCGTCCTCCTAGTGCGACACAGGCATAGTGGTGCTGAGATTATGCTGTGCATCCTCCTTTGTGAAGGCCATGCCATGTGTAGCCAGACAGTGCTAATGCTGCTTCTCTAACACTCCTGTGCTTCTCTTTGCCTCTAGCCGCAGTACACGAACCTGGGGCTCCTGAACAGCATGGACCAGCAGATCCAGAATGGCTCTTCCTCCACCAGCCCTTACAACACGGAGCACGCGCAGAACAGCGTCACAGCCCCCTCACCCTATGCTCAGCCCAGCTCGACTTTTGACGCTCTCTCGCCCTCCCCAGCCATCCCTTCCAACACAGACTACCCAGGACCTCACAGTTTTGATGTATCATTTCAACAGTCCAGCACAGCAAAGTCAGCAACATGGACGGTAAGGACACAGCATCACTTTGCTCCTTCCCTGGCTTTGGTGCCCATACCCATAGTGACATTATTCGTACAGTACATATTCAGGCTTGTGCAAGAACAAAGTGACCCAAGTCCTCTTCTGTGCGCAATGTGTCACACAGAAGAGACATTTATCTTGGTTGCTCTGGGAGGGTGTGGTGGGAATTTAACCATCGATGTCACTAAATCCCAGATGAATAAAATGCCTTGCAAAAGTACAGGTGCCTAAAGACCATGCATGATGAAACAGTGGTGGTTCTTTTGGTTCTAGCAGGTATGCTGGAGTTAAACATGGGGTGGGCAGTAGCATTGCTTCAGTACTTCCCCTGGCCTTCTTCAGCATCTATGGGTTTGCATGAGGCTTGGCATGCAGGGCCATGCCAGCCAGATGGAGGCAGTACTCCTTGATCAGATCCATGGAGTGTGGGGGTTTCTTGTTCTCTGTGTCCTTTCCTTCTTGCAGCTGGTGTGGGAGCCCTAGTGTCACTAGCTCAGGTCAACCCTGTGCACTGGGTTTTTTTTAAGGGAGCGAGGGAGTTGGTTTTCTTGTGGGGTTTTATTGTTGGTTTGGTTTTTTGAGGTGTTTTATTTAATGCTTTGCACTTGCTGTCAGAATACTACCCTTGCTACCAAAAACCTGTAGGAGCTTGAAACCTGAAGTGCAGATCTTGGTTTTTTGGTGAAGCTGACTTGATTGTTTGGCCTCTAGAGACTTTGCAGCCCAGGACACAGCACTGCTGGAGATGTTAGTCCAGCTGTTGTGGTTTAGGGCTCTAGAGTAGAGATGTTTATTGTGGAAAGTATTGCTGTCTTAAAGATATTCAGTATTTACCTTCCTCTCCTGCAGGTACTTGAATGCAGTGAATACAATAAATTTCTGTCCTACCCCACACTACCTGAATAAAAGCAAGGACTCGATTATTTATTCTTTTAAAAAAGCAAACAGATACACTTTTTACCAAAAGCTAAGAGCATTAAGATAGTATGGGGTTTTATTTCCTTTTTAATCTGAGTAACTACCTGATCTCAGATTTAAACACAATCTAGCTGTAAATGTAATTAGCAAATTCCCAACCACTGGTGCCAGCAAAGTATCAGAGCCCTTGTGCTCCACTCTGGAAAAAGACAACACATAACAGATGACTGTAAATTTGCATACTTTGTGTTTTAAAAGCCTTTTCTGATAAAATTTGTCTATAACTGAAAATAATAACTTCGTTTAGAAAATTTTGTTGAGTGTGGTTAAAATGTGATAGGTCCACACACAACCAAATTTCTCATTTCTTTATGCATAAGAGGGTGAAGTCTTTTTAAGTGAGGTTGAAATTGCATTTTCCACTCATCTGCATGGGGAGTGATGCCCTGCTGTAGTTCACACTTGTTTTCCTGTCCATGTTTCTCCTGTTACACTAAGTATTTATTTTCACTTCCCTTTAGGTAAGGAAATTGTTGGTCAGTTCTATTTTGCATTTCTCAGAACAAGAAAATGCTGCCCTTGGATTTTTGCAAGCTGTTCTAGAGAGGGTCCTTTGAAGGAGATATGAAAAGATGTTCTCTTTTGATACATATGGTACAAAGAATTATCTAATGCAGCTGCAAGGAGCCAGTGTGTTTGATGCTGTCCTTTCAACTACAAAAAGCAGTCTTTTGAAACGAGGTTTGAATGTATGTAGTAGGCTGTTCCAGCAGAGCTGAAGGCAAGAGAGCTACTAGCAAGCTGAAAGTTAAGCAAGCACTTGAGATGTTTCACCTTAGTGATAGTGGCTTTCTGGGGTAGAAGTAAAGGCTGAGTTTTAATGTGGATGTGTGGGTAGTGGTCAAAGATCAGATTATATGCTGACTTGAAAAAAAATAAGTAAAATAACTATCTTGTGACTATGGTCGTAAAATGTTTTCAGCCTGGGGAAAGGCACATTCGGCCTTTCCTCTTTTTCCTTTGCCCTGGTGTGGACTGCACTGCTAACAGATGAAGGTGTGTACCCTATACATTTTGCAACTTGTCTAAGTATAAGTCTATGTATTTTATTGAAGGAAACAGCTCTCTGATCAGGGAGAAGTGAGCATGGTCCAGGTGTCCCTGTGTTGAGCCAAGTGACCCAGATTTAGCTGCTCACAGAGGAGCAGGCAGTGTGCTGTATGTTTGCAGTGGGTTATGACAGTCCTGTGGTGGTGGCTGAGCACCTTCAGTCAATACACCTTTCACAGTAGAGCATCTCTCCATCTTCAGAGCTCTGCCCTTCTGCTAATTAATCCACCAACTCATTTCACATGGGCTCTTGAGCAGTTGGTAATATGTGTTCGACAGCTTTATCAGTGAGGTGGGTGGGGAAGGACGTGAAGGCTCTCCTTCCCACTGTCGTCCTGAGAAATGTGGAAACACGCATGAAATGTTGATGAAAGGAGGAGTGATTGCCCCATCCTCTCAGCAAGAGCAAGTTCTTGGAGTTGCTCATCCCCCCATTCCATGTGACTTCATAGCTTTGATTAATGCCTGTCATCTTTTTTTAATGATGGATTAGGAACTTACCCAACTGGAAGAGTTTCTTCCACTGCAGTGACCTATTAAAAGTTTAATTACTTGACGGCCCCACCCTTATTAAGAGTCCAAAACTTGAAAGCCTTGTTTCTTAGGGTTTTGTCCATTTTTTCCCCCCCTCTCTTGCAGTTCCCCAGGGTTACAATACAATCTATTTCCTTACTGAATATTGTGCTTTTCCCTGTTTGGGAGAGGATGAGGCAGACTGACCCACCTTGCTCTGCTGGGAAGGCTCAGTGGTGACTGTCAGGGGATCTGCTGTCCTGGCTGTTCCAGCATGCTTCCCTGGAGCTCCTCCGAGCTTCTGGGCTGGGTCATGCCAGATTAGCTCATGGGAGCAGAGGTGGTGGGTTTGGTAAGAGGAATGGGTGATTTCTCTGAAAAGCAAGAGCTGCTTTCATGGGATGATTAGAGACCTGTGAAGATGCTTCAGATTTCTCACCCTCTTTGTACATTTAGAGCCCAATTTGTGTGCTTTAGAGGCAATAATCTGGAATCACATGTAGATCCCAAGGTTGATCCCCTCTGTTGGAGGTGGGGTGAGAGGGTACTTGCTGAGTACCTAGATGGCTATGGCTCTGAAAACAGCCCTGGAATATTTTTTTTCTCCTAAAGCGTGTTTTGTTTTGCTTTGTTTTTTCCCCTCCAAATTCTGCAGATTATTTCTGCCGGGGAGGTTTATTGTCCTGGATGTGGTGAACACCCTTTTCAAAATCACCAGTATTTGTATAGGATGTGGTGGCAGGGAGATAAGTGTAACAGCTTCTCTGGTCAGGTTTGTCATGGGCTCCTAATTAAAGGAAAAAACCAAATTTAAAAGGGCTAAAAGTTGCAGATAGAAACACTAGCTGCTGCTAAGTGAGAGGGTGATTTCATATTTATACACAGTTCACTTTGAAAATATTACAAATTTTCTCTCTGAAGTCTTTCATGACCTTAAGTAGGAATTCTAGTAAAACATGCTGTCTAATCAGGTTAGGTCTTCACTTGTATGCAATGTTGATCTAATTAATGATGACAAATTGAGATTGGATTGCAGAGGATTTTATAAGCATCCTTAATTATTTTTTTAATTAATGACCTTGGGAACACAAGTAAGAATATAAGCAGGTTAATCAGTCTTTTCAGAAGGAAAATCTTTAACAATTGTAACTCTATTGAAGTGCTTAAAAAGAAAAGCCTTTATAGTCTAAATTGAGCAGAGTTTCTCACCTGCATACTTCTACAATAAACCTTCTTGAAAACTGTGCTGCAAAAGAACAAGCAGTTACTGTTTGTAATGCTGAGATGGAGAGTAGGTTGTTGAGGTTGAGTGAGAAGCCCTCTGAATTGGATCAAGTAAGAGCTCATGCAGAACAGTGTCTCATTTATTGTGGGAGAATTCCCAGATGCTTATGCATTGCAATATCTCCTCCTGTTTCTTCAGCAGAAGAGGCATTTCAAAAGGGTGCCACCTCAGGTTTTTTTTTTCTTTGTGGAAGTTGTGTGTTGATCTTCCCCACCCACTCTTGAGTGCAGATAAATAAATAAACAACTGCACTAGCTTTTCCCCCTAAAAAAAGGATTAGGCAATCACCTGTCGCTAGCAGAACCTGTTACATGGGGAAGAACATGATTGCAGTAGGAAAGTAAAAATTAAAGTTGTGCATCAAGGTAAGTAAAAGTTAACATTACTGCCAAATGTGAGCTATCAAAAAATGAATCTGACCCACCCATCCCCAAAAGCAAGGTACCACCTTATAGGTCATGAGTCTCTTTTTAAAAAAGACAAACAGGTTCTGCTTATTCTCCCCCAGGTTTTCGAACCTTTAGGGTGCATCTGCTAGATCTTTTAAAACTTTTCTTGGGAGTCACGAGAAGGCAGAAATTGCTTTAAGTTTTCAAATGAAAACTGAAATTTATTTGCAAATTTTTGATTCTCATGAAGAAAGATAACCAGCCCTGCAAGACTTGCATAATTCAGGTGCTGGCAGTACCTGAGTTTAGGAGTTTATTCTCATGCCCTGCAGTAGGTTGGAGCTGAGCTGGGTTGGTCCTTGCAGGGCTTTGTTATGAAACACGGGGCTCTGCAAAGCTGCAATCTGTGTTCCAGGCAGGCTCACTGATTTTCCTGTTCTCAGTAAACTCAGCTGTACCTACGACCATCAGAAAATGCTCAGATTTCAGGCTCTCTTTGCTAGCAAAGCTGGATAATAGGCTGTGCAACATGCATGAAAGCAAGTAAATGGATTGTGCTGGCTGGGGTTAGTGGATTTGGAAAAGCTGTATTTTAAGGAAGGTGAAAGGAATGCACTTAAATTAGTCCACAGGAGCAATAACAGGTTTCTGTGGTTGAGAGTGCAGATTCCTTGGCTGGGCTAAGTCAGTTGTTTTATTTCAGATTGGTTCATTTTTTTTGTAAATATATTCTGTGTCCGGATCCACCTAGTAAAATTGGGAAATTTTTT